CCTGGCTCTGCAGACGAGGATCGGTCACTCCCTCGATGATATAATCGAGGAGCTCGTCTTCCGCGATCGGTATGCGATTCGCGAGAATCACCTTCTCGTGATAATAATCACAGAACTGCTCGTCTCTCTTCCACACGCGAGCCTCAAATTCTCTCCTCAGCGTCAATTTTCCTGGTCGCAGATCGAACATTGACTCCATCTCTCGCAGAAGGTCCTCCAGGTCCAGTGTCACATGCTCGGCCCTTGAGTGAAACCAAGACAACGCACGGCCTTTCAACCGAGAGCTAATTAACACTCTCGTCGAATTATCGTCCAGCTGATACGTGCGTCTCAATAACTCCAACTGCTGCTTCCACCTCCAGAAGGTGCTATCCGTTGCGTCAAATTCAGGCAGCAGCTCCTTAATTCCCCTCACACCGCCGAACGCAGAAATGACACTGCCGTTCGTTGTCGTCGGTGTGGAGGTTGCACTTCTCATTACTTCTATTTCTCGTTGAAGTAACTGCCGCTCTCTCTCCAAAATCTCTCGTTCTCGACGCAGTAACAAGAGTTCCGCCTGCGTCGCGTCGTCGTGCTCTCTCCGTTCCGGCGTCGTCATCCTCACTCGGTCTCCTCGTCTCGGCGTATCGTCCACGGTCTCCATCTCCATGGCGTCACCCTGTTCACTGGGTGAACGCACACCTCCTGAAGCCGGGATGCCATCCGAATATCTCTCCTGCCTCCGTTGCTCGCTCAATCTCGCCCATACGCCTGAATCGTTGGCATTCAGGCGCTGGATGAGCTCGGCTTTCGACCCTCCCAAGGTCAGTCCTTTCTCGCGAAGAGCCTCCTTCATCTCAGCGATGGTGAAATCACTCGGCTGCATCGACTCCGCCACCGTCCCTCAGATCTGCTCGATCGGTTCCTCGGGCACTCCGCGATGTCCCCGACACTCGCGCAACCCAAAGATCACTATGCGTTGATCGTCTCAACCCGCGCGTCCCACACTCGACGCGTATCGCGAACTCCCGAATCGCCTCTCTCAGGCCGAATTCGCGAAACCGGGTGCAACGCCTCGATCCCACTTCTGATTTACTATAGGCGTCTGATGGGCGTGAGAGAGAGAAATAGAATGTTTCTCTCACCGTTTCGATTAGGATATCGTGTTTCAAGGGATAGGCCAAAGGTTTAATTTATTCCAACGTTAAATAATAGTATGTATATGTATAATGTGCAATTGTGAATATTACACGTCTTCACGTCGACAATTCTTCAGAGTCGTATCTTGCCGTTTTCGCCGTCGTTCGATGTTTCGAGGAAGAGAGATATGATCTGTTCTGTTCGGTTCTCTATTGTCTCTCGATTCCCAAAAAGTCGGCATATTTATACCCGGTGTTAAAACCTTCCCTACCCGAAACATCGGACCAATCAGAATTACCTTTGTTCATCGCGCAGAGATGTGTTTTCGGTTTTCTCGACAAACAAAGGATCGCTTAGAACGCTTTCAATAATAAATATTACAAATAAATAAGTACCCGGCACGAGGTCGACAAACAAAACACGTAAATCAGCTAATCTCATCGTCGGTTAACGTCTTTATAAAAAATGCCTACACTGAATTTATTATTATTCATTAAGCATAACCCTGTTTATATATTACAAAAGTTTATATTAATCATTAAAAGAAAACTAACTAATAATAATAATCAATTTATCGGTGTTTCACTTATCTCTTTGATAACATTTAGGGAGGTGCAAAGATATTTTATGAAATTGAAATAAATGTATCATTAATTTAATAGAATTATTTATCTCGTATAACTTGTCGCAAATCTTGCGTTTTAGAATGACCTTAAATGTGTTCTATACCCAAGTGTGGAGTATATTTGCTGTTCTAAGCACGTGCGTTTCAATTATGTGTTTTTTTTTATAATTTTAGATATATAAAATATTTTGGTATAATTCTTTGTACAATCATCTCATTTTAATATATTTTCTGATATAGAATAAGTAAGCCGCACATCTGAAACATTATGTATAAATTTCTTTATGCTTCATTCTTATATGATATTTCATAGGTGTATCGCTAGATGATAGGATGAAATTTTTGTCATAGATATCGCGTGTTGCACGTTGTTAGTTATATTTCTTAAAATAATGCCTCCTCCATTGAAGAGATTCTCTGTATAAAAAAGATCTAAGTTGTTGGAATTGATAAAATTTTAAAGTCTTGTTTAAATCTTGCATGAATTTGCAAAATCTGCAATTATATTAATATCATACAAAATCTAATATCATTAGTAAGCTTTTATTGTCCTCTTTAATTCTTTTTATGCCTACTTGAATCTTCGATATTCTTAAATATCAACATTAAGAATTTATTTCAAAATATAAAAATCTTTGCTCTTTATTAACATACCTGTTTATACTTATACAAATGCAACACACTATCAATTATAAAAGTTTCAAAATAATATATATTTATAGATGGCAAATTTATTACATCATATTTTGCATATACTGAAAGTGTTAAAAAAGTTAATAAACTAATTAATTTTTGTAAATTTTATACTCTATTAATTCTTCTGCACTAATTCAAATTGTTGTAATTACAATTTTTTATATTTTATTATTTTTATTAATTAATACAAGAAATATAGCAGAGAGAATAATAAATATATTTTATTTATCGCGTTGATTCTTACTTGACATTGCATACAAAAATAGGGCATACTATTTATATCTATAATATAAAAGTTGAAAATATATGTATATATGTATATGTCAAAAACATCTGTCCATTATGTTGGACCAACTATCTGTAGATTGATTTGTAAATGAATTATATATAATGATAATTATTACGGCATATTTTACGTTTTCATTTATGTGTTCTACTATTTAAAACGAATTATGAAACACAAGCTATAAAATTCTTGCTTTGATTGATTTTTTGTAAATAAATGTCTCAATAAACACTTAAACCAAGTTAAATTATAAAAAATGGTAAATTATACATAACTGTTATCTGCAAGATCCTCACAAAGTTCTTTATTTTTACAATTGTTTAAATTATATACTAATATCCGATTATGTTAGTGCGGGTATGTTATCAGCACATCACAATGCACTTTGACTAATGTCATAGTGGTTAATTCATGTCTAGTTATAAACATTCCATAGAAATCTCTTAGTAGCGACAACATCTAAAAAAATAAATTAAACATGAACAAAGATTAAATGTTAAACAAAGATCTAATTGTAAATTAAAAAATGAGAAATTGTACATTTATTCTCATCTTCCTATACATATAGAGTGTAATATATTGATTCTTTGTAAATTTACAAGTACATTAATATCTTAAAATTAATAGAAGTAATAAATAAGTAATTTTCAACTTCTTTAGTTCTTATCGCGGTGTAGTGTTTTAGAAAATCACTAAAATACATCGGGAAATTCTCGTCGTTTATGTAAAAACATCTCGCATTGTCTAAATTATTTGTGACGCTGTAAACAATTAAAATATTACCTTAATCGTTATTAATATTTTTATAATAAAAAGTTATATATGTATGCGTTTAATAAGAAAAGAAAGATAACCGAAAAATTATGATAATGTCGATTCTAATATATATCTATACTTACAATTTTGATTTCCAAATTATATAGAATTCATTTTCAATATTTAGTACATCGCAACGTAGACCAAGTCTTCTAGCCACGCTATGATATATTGTAACTACAATGATATCTTGACCATATTTAGTTTGTAAAACCTGTGCCAAATATAATACAGAATAAATTAATCAAAGCGAGAGAATATTAAAGGAATGCTGATCATGACTGTTTTACCGACTTCGAGTTCAAGGGCTTTTCTTTTTATTGGCTATATAGGTTGAAAAATTCTTTTTCACAATTAAAGTACTGATAATAATAAACGGGGAGCGCTGTGATTTTGTATAGAAAACAATAAATGTTAAGAAATTACAGTTTTCTTAACCGCCTCTTGCATCAGCTCATAACAATACTTATTTAATACAAAAGTATTTTGCAGATTATTTAATACAAAAGTATTCTGCAGATTATTTGTGCACAAAATATGGCGTTTCCAATAAAGATAACATAAAAGAATAATACAGATTTAATAAAAATGAGATTAAAAGTTTGTATCACCGGATTCGTACTTGAATGAATTATGTATGTATATACCCAGTAAGCAAGAAATATTTAATCAACATGTTATAATGTTGATTTTATATAAATTTTCCAAACGTTATGATATAATGTTGTATAAATATGTTTAAAATATTTATAATAAATATTCTAAAAATTATTTTAATTGATGTTTTATAAATGTTTTAAGAATATTATTCAATAACATAATGTTCTCAAAATATTAATAAAATATTTTAAAAACGTTAATTTCAACATTACTGAAACCTCTACATCAATATCAAAGTTTGTTCGTAATGATGTTGCATACAATGTTAAAAACTACATACTTGACAGCAATAATGACGTTGTAGCAATGATTTTTTGCTTACTGAGTATACTTTGCGTGCGGAATCGATGTCGAGGCATAAAACAGCAAAAATTTGTAGCCGGACAGCGCTTCCCATTCATCATATTATAGGTATTTTTCATTGTAAAGGTTCTTTCAATCTGTATATTCAATATAAGAACTGAATTAAACCTAACTTAAATATGGCCCATAATTATATTATTATAATCTATAATAACTTACATAATCTATACACAAACAATTGATATGTACGCGAAAGGACTTGCATGGTAGAAAGTTCAAGGTGCCAAATATCTATTCCTGGAGTGTATCCATAATCTGCGTACTTTCTGTTTCATTCCAATGATTATCTTCGATATTGTTGGTTTTCCAATAAGAAAAAGTTTCATCAGACGTGGAGAATATTGAATGGTTCGGATGCTTTTTTCTAACAATAAGAGAATTCAGTACCTCTTGTGCGATTGTATCCAATGATGCACTTACATTCGTGTAACATACATCTTCTCGAATTTGAATATATTTTGCCACGAAAGTACAAATTTCTTCCAAAAGCTGTTCTCTTTCAGGTTTCACTCTATATCTGTCCAACTCATTTCGTATCGAAGATAGCTTTTCATAGTGAGACAATTTTATTTCGCAATATCTTTCGAATGAATTGCGATCAATTTCTTTAAAAAAAACTATGTATTGAAGTATTAAGTTAATCAATAAAATAAAACATTAAATTGTGATAATAGTAGCACTATAATATATATGAAGATCCTACCGTGGAGATGGTGATAAGAAGTATTTAATCTCGTCAATATAGTACATGTATTTCATCTCATCTGCAAAGGTAAGTACCCGAAAAAAAGGTTCATTTTCAAACAAACGATTGAAATATTCATCTATATTATCAATGAATCCGATTACATCATCGATTGGGCCAATGCCATAATTTTGATTTAATCTATTGTAATAATAATCGTAAAAAAGAATGTGAGACAAACAGTTTCGCACCTGTGTCGCACAAATTAGGCCTCTTACAAGAAAGTTCATGTCTTCTCCATCCTTTGTTTCCTTAAAAATTTTATATTGTCTCTTTACATCGGGCCATCTGAAAAACATAGTTATAAAAAAATGTTAATTATAAAAGGGATACAATAATATATATTTATTCATATTTATAAATATTTATAAATTTTTATCGGTTTACCGTCTACTTTAAGTATTTTTATGTGCTATGATTTTAAACCAAATTTATCTTAAAATTACTCTAGATAAATTATATAGTAAAGAAAATACTTTTTTTCATCTATAAGATGCAGATATAAAGGTAATACGTATTTTTATTATCTATATGCTGATAAGATGATTCCAAAGTTTTATCTATATAATTTTATTTATGTAACAGCAAACACTAATGATATTAAACAATGTAATTGTACATATAATATTTCAAATTAATAAATTTTTTTAAGTATTTAATTCAAAGCATAAGTATATATACATATGTCTCTTCTTTTTATACTTTAATCAAAAAAATTAAAAAAAAAATATTATTTAATATATTAATTGTAATTTAATTTATACTTGAGTGAATAACATTAGTTTTATATTTATTTTTGAACTACATATTTTCCTAAAAGTATATTAAAACTATATTTTCAAATTTTAATTTTAATATGTATATTTCGTAATTCAATACGTGTATTCTATATCAATTAATAAACATTAATGTGCGTATGTATGTATATATTATGTTTCTTTTTAAATATTTTGTAGAACAATTTTTTGAAAGCATATTTACATACAATGTCGACTGTGCTTATATATGTTACTTGGCACGTTTTTCCAATAATTAAGATTTTATTGTGATTTCAATGCTATTTATAAAAAGAACCGATAGAATAATATCAAATCTGTTTGTTTCTATCACGAATATATATTATATATATAATTTTTATATTTAAAAATGCAAGTAAATATATTGAAGAATTCACATTAAAATAAATAAGCAAAGTTACTTTTAAATTTTATTTTCAACAATTAAATCTAAAAAAAAATATTTAATGACTGAATATTTTTCGATCGATACAGGCCAACTAATATTTATTTAATTAATCACACAACGTTTCATAGAATTTCTGTTCTTCTCCAGTGTACTGTCAAGTGAGCAAAAAACCAAAATTATATGGTCGAAACACCGTGGTCGAAAAATGTGTAATTAAATAAACATCATTTGGCGAGTATCGGTCGAAAAATATTTGGTCTTTCAATTTTTGGCAGCTGAAAATTAAAAATTCTAATAAGTATATTATTAAATGTTTACATTCCATATATATATACTTATAAACATATTATGTATGTATTTATATATATAACGGTAGAGTTCGCCAAATTTATTATTGAGCAATAAAAAAAATAATTAAGTAAGATAAAATATTTATAATATACGTTCTATGCAGAAGTGATATACATTGCGCGACAGGTTAATGAGACAAAATAACAAAAAGATTTATAAACCACAAGAATTACCTTTGAGATAACTTTTTTTCCAAGAACTTGTCATATTTGGCTGCATAACGAAATTGCTTGCACACGCATCGAAAGTTGATGATATCTTCAATAGTGAGTACATTATCGTTGAGAATGTGGCTTATCATCTCTTCTGGTAAGCACGTTATCTTGCATTCAGACATTATGAGAAACAAAACACAAAAAAGGAATGTAAATTAAAGTGATTGCAATAAACAATTCGCGTAATTAATTCCTTGCTTTTCGCAGTACACGAAATGAGTCTGCCGATTACGAAGAGCACAGATGTGTGTTTGATGTCCACGAGAGACGTTTCCACACTACAGACGGTCTGTTCTTTATTATGAAATGTGACCTCAAATTTTAAAGCGTTATTGCTTGTTTTCGCTAAGATATAGGTATAAGGATCTGCCACGGCATGCGCAGAAAATGTAATTTAGAACTAGCAAATTTACCATTTCTTCTATGCGCTTGAAAGATAGAACGTGGTAAATAATTAATTTATAATTTATTTTATTATCACTATTTATTTATATTTATTGTTCTTTTATCATTTAAATTTAATTAAAATAATATAATTTTCAAATTTGTCAATTATTTTAAATTTCACTAGTTTCCATGTATTTATATATATTATGTAATATTTAAGTTTAATGAAAATAATATCGTTCAAATTATGAATTATTTTATTAAATTTTACTAATATTCATATATATTTATATTTTACACTTTATGATTCTAGTGCTGTGCATTGTGTCGACTTTTTATTTTAATTTGGAGTTGTAATAATTTTGCGTAAATCATGCATGAGAAAGAAATATGGATCGCAAATAATATGAGTTTGAAACAAAAATGAAAAAGTATTTTTACTTAACGCGTGACGTTCATTTTTGTTAAACGCACAAAACTTAACAAACTTTGGCACAGCAAATTTAGATGCCCATATGTATTACCGCAAACATTTCAATGTCTAAATAATATCTTAGCGATATAATTCATATAAATATTCGTATTGTAAATCGAGGTTTTTATTTTAGCTGAGAATTTTATCTGTAAAGATTTGAAAAATGTAAATCTCTCTCTTTCCTTTTTCTCGTATCAAAAATATTTTATAAAATTCTATATAAATTAATAATTTTTATTATATACAACATATAAATTGTATATAGTAAAAATAATACATGATAAATCTAATGAATATATTAAATTAATGTAACACTTTTAGTTTCAGTGTCTATCAAACTTTTATTAGAAAACTCGAACCTTCTGTTTTATTTTTCCAAAATAAATTTATTATTTTTTAATTAATAATTAATTAATTAAAAATAGAAAAAAACACATAATTGAGAAACACATGCTTAGTGAAGGAACAGCAAATATACTTCACATTTGAGCACAGAATACATTTAATGTCATTCAAAATGTAACATTCTAGTTTCCGTTTCTTCTAAACTTCTGTTAGAACACTCATCTTGTATTTTATTTTTCAAAAATAAATTTATTAATTATACAATAATATTTCTTCAGTAATCGAGCTATTTAATCGACTTATAATTCTCTATATCACGTTATGCAATAGTTTCCACCCCGTATATACGCGCGAGTAAAACCACATAAAATTGTCGAATATTCTTCAAATATGTACATTATTTATTAAAAAGAAAGAAAGATAGACAGGGAGGAAGAGAGAAAGAAAGATTGAAATCTATTTCATAGTATAAATAATGTCGTAACAATACTAATAATTCGTATAAATATTCGTATTTATAAATTAACATTAAGGCACGCGCTCCGTACGTGCTGCGTGCGATGACCTTGGCCGCGCTAATAGCTGACAGCGCGCGACTGCGCAGTTCGAGTCGAGCTACCGCCGCGGTCGGACGATCTCGCGCGCGTCGCGCGTTTTCTCGCATCTGTCGTGTATTTTGTTGCGAGTCGAGTGACAGACGCGTGCGGAAGTACGGGACACGCGTGACGATTGATATGTCGATCGAATCGCGATCGGAACGATGTGAAAATACGTCGCGGGTTTCGTTAATAAAGTTGAAAGTAAACTTTTTCAAACGCGACGTGTGCGCCGCGTACCGTAGTCAGTGTTCTCAACAGTGCAACCGGAAAGTGCGCGAGTAGCTGTTAGTGGTGCCACGTGTCAAACGTGAAAATCGCGCAGTCGCGAAAAGGAGCGAGAAAGTCGTTCGTTGTTGAGTGAAGTTTTTTTCAAGCTACGCAAACGCGTAATGCATCGCGAGTGTATATGTGTATTGTGCGTCGGAATAAATGATTGTCTACAAGGATACATAGACAATCGTCGCGGCGGAGCTCGGAATAATTTCAGAAATTGGACGCTTCCTCGCAGGTAGGAATAAGTGAAGTTTGCCGCGAATTTCGTCGACTCAAGCGACACCTTATTATTGCTAAAACGCAGTCGCGATAAAGACGTGCCGAATGAAAACGAGAAAGAATATCACATATATTTGTTTTCGCGAAGGACTGAGAAGCGGCGGCGCGTACGTATTAATAAAACTAATTAAAACTATTGAAAATAAATATTGCCTGCGAGCGAGTATAAAATCGGAAATATATATCAGAATAGAAGTTGTTATTAAATTTGTTCGCAGACTCGTTTCCAAATACTCTACAATCGCTGCAAAACATGTTGACAATCTCACCGTGGATTTGCGCGAACCCGAGAATCGCGTGTTTAGTGTATTTTCGTAAATTCTTCGCCAAGAATGAAGGTTTTTTTCCCCGAGTCGTAAAATTTTAAAACGGTACGTGTGTATTGCGTCGCGAGTGTGCTTGAGTTTGTGCGAATAGAGTGTGAAGAGAGAATCGGCGATAAGCAAGTGGTCTTCGTGGCCGAGCTCGGGCTGCTTCTGAGAATTGAACGAGCCGAGGGTAAGCTTGAATTTCTTGGAATCACAATTGTTATGTCTTCGTTGCTGTTAGTCTTCGACTTTTCACATTTTCCGATCAAGATAAATTTTCTGCGGCACTTCTCGTAATATATTTTCTAAACCAAATAAATTTTACGATTATATGTATAATTATACAATTATTTATATATAATTATATATAACAGATTTTTACCGGGTTTCCGTATTGACATATAATCTCGAAAAGCTTGATAAAATCTTTAGTATTTTTTTATTACGTTTCGCGCAACATCTGTATCGGAAAACTTGTCAGAAATTGAACAAAATATGTACAGATCTCTCGGGTGGGCTATAAACTTTGAATACTATATTCTAAATATATTCCGAGGGTATGATAAATAATCTACGCTCTTCAAACGTCTATAATACTGTTCCGCTTCTTCTCGACGTCCACGGAATCTAAATCGTTGCCGAGGCTGCCGACTCGACCTCTCAATCCTCCACCGCCGACTTGACCGGTCGCTTTGAGCTTCTCTTGCATCTGCGCCAGAATGTCTCGCATTCTTCGTATCTGCGAATCGCGAATCGTCAGTTGATACAGTGCGATTGATATTTAGGAAAATCATTTTTGTCAAAATTAAATTGGAACAGGGTTGGGTAATTTCCAAATGGAAAGGATCGTAACGTTCAAATTAAATAAAAATTTTAAAAATAAGTTGCACTGTGAAAAAAATTTATTAACGTGACTAAACCTTTCAACTAAATATTATTTTGTTAATTGAACATATAAAAATATTTAAATTAAATATAAGATATTAAATCTATAACAGAACATATATTAGTATTTAAGTCAAATATGTATTTCATGTTAGACTTAATATATTATATTTATTTAAATATTTGTATATGTTCAATTAACAACATAATATATATTTAGTTGAAAGGTTTATAGTCAAGTTAACACATTTTTTTAGGGTGGCTTTTATTAATCTTGCGTATACTTGAAAATGTTTTTTTTTATATATATTATTATTAAATTATATCAGGGTCTGGTAAGTTCATGATTTTTTTAAACTAAGTTAATTTAAAGTTAGTTGCTTATAAAATAAATTTAATTAAGTTGCCTGAAGAAAAAATTAACTCATTGTCAGTTAGAGTAAAGTTAAAATTAAATTAAGGGAAATTAAATCAAAAGTTAGTTTTTCAAAACATTATTTATATTAAATTAGAATTTTGTTTGTTAATATTTTTAAAATTTATAATAACAAATAAAGAAATTTTGATTTTGATATAGAAATATATTTTTCTTGTAATTATAATTGATGACAAATGAACAAAAATTAATGATACTTTAATTTAAAAATACATTTATAACTTACATAAACCAATAATGATATTGAGAGATTAAAAAATTAACTTGGGAAAAAAATTAATAAGTTTAAGGTCAAAACTAACTAGTTGAAGTTAAACATTAATACATTTTACATTAACTAAGCTATAATTAAAATTATTAACTATTTAACTTTTTTTTAAACTTTTAACTTATTATTACTCAACCCTGAATTGGAAATATATTATTTTTAATTGTTCACTGAAAAAATTGGTTAACTTGACTAAATCTTTCAACAAAATATTATTTTGTTAATTGACCACATAGACATATTTAAAATAAATATAACATTGATATAAATCTAACAAAACGTAAATTTTATTTAAATACTAATATATGTTCAATTAACAAAATAGTAATTTAGTTGAAAGGTTTAGTCAAATTAATAAATTTCTTTCTAGTGTATAAATGACAAATTTTGAAAATTATTTTCTAATTATACAGGATATTAAAAACTTATATCGACACATGGAGAAAGGAGACTTCAAAATTAACATTTTTTATTAATACTAATTTTCTCTATAATGTTTAATTTTAATAGGTACTACATATGAAATACGAGTTTGTGACTTTTTAGTTTATCATCTGTAATAAAGTTATTGGAGGAATTTTTGATCATTTACTGTAAAAAGAGAGAATTATTTTTATGCATTTGTTGAACATATATTAATATTTAAATCAAATACACGTTTTTTATATTTAATGTTACATTTCATTTGAATATGTTTAATTAACAAAATTTTTAGTTGAACGGTTTAGTCAAGTT